GAATCGTCCAGAATGTTTTACCAAAACCTGTATGAAAACACTCAGATTGCCTACGGAAGGCGGGAACAGGAAAGACGGATGGACAGGTGCAAAGGGCTCCTCCTAAGAAAACCGCAAGTGAGTAGCACAATTGAAGCATTTCCACCGTGATCACTAAGAGGCGGTTGACAGTCGTTTATTTCGGTGCGATTACTTTTACAATCAGTTTAAAGAAAATTGTCCTCTCACTCTTAAACTACCACTTATTATCTCAACTTTTAACACATTAATTTACTTTTGATTGAGGTGGACACTTCGCCTTGAAGAGGCATAAATTGATGTTGATAGCACAAATTTGTCCCTGGGATTTGACTATTCAATGAAATAATTCTTTGTAGTGCTTGGGAAACCTTTTAGTGTCCTATAAATTGTCTTCTATGTCAGTGGCATAAGCTATTTAGAAAAGGTCACTCTTTTAACTACTATAGAATTTGGTGTTATTCGAAATAGGAAGTTGAAAAAAAGGGGAAATGGTAAAGAGGAATGAGTACTGCTAAACTTCTCCCTGGCGCTTAGAGGCAAAGTGTCGCACAGATACCGAAATTGCGACCACGATTGCTTTAAGTGTAAAAAGAGATAAGGAGAGAGTCGGCGCCAGTCTCTTTACCTCCGCCTTTGACAACCGTGTGACTACAAATAGAACTGTGCGTGTCCTTTTCAGATCGCTTTGTTTATGGCTTCAGAAAAAACCACTCTCGATCCTCTCGGGGCCTACTTCCATGGGACATGTCCAGGCAGAAAACCCGATTATTAACTCCCAAGGTATCGTAATAGATTGTTTGTTTATTTTAATACGTACACATAAGCGGGCTTCCACAGGTTGTTTGAAACAACCAATAGGATGGCTCCGTCTCAAGCCCACGCAACATTCCGATTGGCTAGATCGGTATCTTTCAAAACACTAACGTCTTTGATCGTATTTTGAGTCGTTTTTCATAAGCATTAAGGGACAAGTCAGTTGACAGTAGAGTTGTTGCAAAAGTGATGGTTGACAATGGTAAAATAATCCTCTATGCAAGCCCAATTAAAGGAAAAGGAAGTTTGGCCAATTCACTGTCCCTAAACCAGCTGAAAAATTGACAGACACGGCGTAGCCCTTTTATTACCCTCCTAGTCTACCTCTGTTTGTATGGCCGACAGATGTGGTCAACTTATAAAGGACCAAAAGAGATAATAATTTCTTGTTAACAAAATGCCCTAATAGTGGGTAAAATAAAGCATAACTTTGTTTTTCTTCTTTTCTAAAGAAAATGAAGGGTCAACTTTTGGCTAGTGTACAAAGAGGTAGATAAATTTTGATGATGCTTTTTTTAGGCTAATGGAGGGTTTTCGGACTATCAGACACATTTATAAACCCCCTACTGCAGTACATTTAAAAGACACCGCAGCTGTAAGAGCATCTCAAAGAGCCAAATAAAAGCATTAATTTCCGTTCTCTGCCTAAAAAAATAATTTTACTCATCTAAAGTACTTCACTGCTTTTGACCGTACCTTTGGAAGGGTGTTGGCGGGTAGAACGAAGGAAGGAGAGAGTGATAAGGACTGTCAATTGAAACTGCTGCTCACGTGCACTTGTCAGATGCCATTTTTAGGGCTGTGGATTTGTGCAGCATGCAAACAATTTTGCCCCACTTGGTTCACAATGGTGGATGCAGGGAAGGGATGGGAGGAGGGATTTGCTGAACAGGCACAGGATGAGAGAGCTTACGTGATGGACAGATAAGGCTGCGCCACCATCCTCTCGTCGCTCGGGCCCTCGTCCCTCCGCCACGTCAAATCCAGTGCGTTTGAAAGCTACATTTGTCACCCTCCAATTGGCGCGTAACTCTTTTAGTGTGTGTTTGTTATTACGCACATCAGTTTATGACCAGCTGTGACAGGAGAGGAAACCGGCCGGATCTGGGGAAGGGAAATTCAACACAGGCGACAAGGGGGATGGAAGAACTACTAGACACAGCTTTAACTCCACTCTGGTTTGATAATAATACTGACTTTAAGGTGAAAAATAAGAGGAGATAATAGAAGCATTATAATTTTCTGGCCTATTGGTTGTTAAATCTCTTGTCTCTGATAGTTCGTAAAAATGTTGAGACTTAAAATAAATTAAACGAAATGAGGTGAATTGGTAGTAATTTTAGCATGTTTTACTATTTACTTACCACGTGTCGTGCCTCTCCTCCCTTCCGACGCATTTTGATCAACATGAGTGATTGATGGGCAACGAGATGCAGTGCTTTGCCCCTCGCCTCCGCGTCTCCACTCAAGTGAGAATATTGAGAGAACACAGGTCTACTCGGTGGTGGAAAATTCAAATTGTCGCCTTTGAAGGGAACCATGTGGAGTTGCCAAAACTAGTATGAATGAATGAATGAATGAATGCGTTGTTTGCCAGTCTGGGAACAGACAAATCCCCCTATTTTGCACTCTCCCTTTAGACAAGCAATTCAGCACAATTAGAATGTTATGTGAACAGTGAGATCCACACAATAGAGGGTGCCAACTCTCCCCCTCACCTCTTGGTGATGTACATTCCACCACGCGTGGGCTAGCAACCCAGTCTAGACATCTCCAGTAACCAAGGTGACAGTAATAGCAAACCTGACAGTTTTTTTCATCAACAAAGACGTTGTATCATTAACACTGAGATGTCTTCCAGCATAAAACGAAGTTTAAAATGGCGTAAAAGTCAGCTGATGGCATTCCTTCATTGACGGCAGCTGGAATGTAAAATTTTAGCCCTCGCCCACCACTACGACGCCTTGATGGAGAGTGAAGCAAAGTGATGGCCCTGAGGCGATTGTTTTACCCGTACTGACAGGCGTACCTATTGACAGTGTTCCCTGGGTACTAAATGCATCCTTTCCAGAAGTAAAATGATGTGGTTTTCCGTACCTTTTAACGCCATTGCAGGCTCAACGAAGCAGCAAGGAGAAGGAGAGCTTCTTTAAGGGTACAGCTAAACATTCTCTATTAAATTCTAACGGCATCGAATAACAAACAAAAGAATTATGATGGAAAATGGTGCATTAAAGTCACACATCCTTGTTGGTGGGAGGCGATAAACAAGCCTTTAAAAGTCCCTAATTTGTTATGCTTTTAATGCGGTAACAAATGCAGGACGTTAAAAGGAAGTGGAAGACAATGAGGTTGCCAATTAGGCCTCATTTAAGTAAACACTAGCCTGTTCTGTACAATTATTGTTATTATTATTATTATTTGTGGCCGGACCAGATGTTGAGATTGGGTTTATTTTTAGGCTCTCAGATGCCTCCATCAGGTGGTAGCGTCTTAAGTGAGGTGAGCAGATTAACTTCGACTTGTGGTTGTCCACCCCGTGACGCTGAGCCCAAAGTCATTTATGCAAGCAGGTAATTAAGCTTGGAAATAAGCAGGTGGACAGGCTAGCAATTAAGAGGCGAAAAAAAAATAAGAGAGAGAGAGAGAGAGAGAGCGAGAGATGTGCAAATTTTTGCTCTCATTTAGCCTTCTCATGAATAGACATGTGGTCGTTAGCACGACATAGATGTTTTGGCCATAAAAGGACCCGAGTACGCCGCAAAACGCTGATTAATGCGGTAGAGGGACATGTTTTTGCGTCTGGTAGGAGTGTGCTGTCGTAAAGGCAATGCTGGCAGGATTGGGGTGCAGGAATGCACATCTATTGACCATAAAACACGTGTGGGTCCGAACATCATCGTAAAAATGCATTTTAGCTTTTTTATACTAAATACGGTAGTAGTTGTGCATTTTTCAATAGTTAGAATTTTAAAGCTCCCTCTAAATATGGGTTCGATGTCGCTAGCCCCTCTCCATGCAGTGATTGGAGCAACCACTTAGTTTGGTGAAGCCCCAGTGGGACAAAATAATTTCATCGCTTTGTGAAGATTATAAGGGATCTTTTCAAAAGGCTCACAACTGCTCCGATTCGGGAGACAGATACCACCTTTCAAGGAAGGAATATGGAAAGTGGTCTCACATCACACAAGGATACAATTGTAAAAAGGAACTCGTAAGCACTAAACGCTTTACTTTTTTAGAGGTCTTTTTAGAAGAACATGGACAACAAGAAGGCAAAATACCTAATTACTTTTCGCCGCTTTTATGACAAAGTTAAAGGAACCATCATCTGTCTGTTGGGTCTTCAGTACTTGCCAAAACATTGACACTCCTTGTGTTAGAGGAGTAAATCACAAATGAAGGGAAGAAAATTTGGCAATCCTCTTTGCTATTGACCTCCAGGATTTGCAAAAATAAATTGTTATGAATTTTTGGTGTTGAAAAGATATATCCACATACGTGTGCTTTAGCGAGATTTATTGTCACCCATAACTACAAAGTCAACGAAAGCCCCCACATTCTCTAACCGAGCCTATTAATTTGCAGTTACGATTGGTCTTTAGGCCTGTCCAATTAAATTCATCATCCAATTACACACACATTTAGCGAACCAATGAGAGGCCGAGTTTGAAAGGGATATTTAAATCGCAGGTTCACAATCCCCATCGCAGTTTGTGCATTCTAACCGGTTAGAAACCGAAAATCTGATGTCAACATGATTACGTTTTACCCAAATGGGTTATCTATTGCGGTGATGTCTGTCATATTAAGGCTACTTCCTGATTCTCATACCTGTGTCGCTGGAAGTCCTTTGGAAGCACAGACAGCCACCTATGACCCAGAAAAACCTATTTACGAGAACTTTTTTAACTATTCTCAATTCGCCCTCTACTACTTTCCGCAAGTGCACTTCTTCGACAAGTACTTCACCATTGTCCTCTTTACAATCGGCTTTCCTGGTAACTTCATTGCCTTCATGGTGTGGTCCAGCAAAAGGATGTACCATGGAAACTCGGCGGCTGTCTATCTGGCAGCTCTCTCACTCAATGACACTGTTGTTCTAGCCATTTCTCTCTTCCGAGACTTAACAAGAACTTGGGATGTACCCTTCTATCCTACTACAGGGTCTTGTGAAGTCCTTGAAACCGTCACACTGACTGTTCAGTATGCCTCTCCCATGTTCGTCCTGGCCTTCACTGTGGAACGATGGCTAGCGATCTGTCAACCTTTTATGGTCTCCCGAATCTGCTCCGTTAAGCGTGCTGTCCATACCTGCATTGGTATTATCCTTCTAACTCTTCTAGTTTGTTCTCCCATGGCTTATCTGATGGGCACAGATCCTCAGGGTTGCCAGCCACGCTCTACGGCCGTCTTCTACTTTACTACAACTCTCGAAGTTCTCTACTCTCTCGTGGCTCCACTGCTGGTACTCACCTTCAACTGCCTCGTAATAAACGAGATGGCAAAGATACGACGCGCTCAAATGAAGAAAATGATTCGATGTGCAACGCGAGGTAGTACAACTAGTGGACGGGTCAACGAATCGGGGACGATGCAACGACTGTTTCGAAGATCCACTGTCAATAAGGACTCTGAGGTTGGAATAAGAAAATTGTCTACGTCCCTTAAGGAGCCACACAGAGGACAAGCAGATAGTGATCAGGCAGGAGGTTGTGGAGAGGCCTCTTCACCCAAATTCAGGTCTACCACTATAATGCTGTTGGTGGTCAGCTTCTACGTCATTTTTGCTACTCTCCTTGGTGGTTTGTGGTATGTGCTTGACCTCAAGTTCTCCATCGATGCCTATATCGGATGGCCGAAGCGTCAGGTAAGCTCTCAAAATCAGTCCAATTTATGAGAAATGACTGTAAGAATTCACGAGAATTTGGATCTTTAATGCCATTTTCCTATGCACTGACATGCGATAAAATTGCTCTTCATCTCTGAACTGCAAAAACTGTCAAAAAGTGCATGAAATAAAATAGTGTATAACCTCCAAAAAAAAAAAAAAAATCCTTGCCAGCATTGACATTTCAGTGCCCAGTAAATGCGGTGGAAACGGGGTGAAGGTGATGATACGGGCACAACTCCACTCCAAAGCCTTAAACAACACTTTACATTGCACAACTTGTTCCACTTTTTCACATTAAAATGGGTCAAATTAGAAGGTGGAGATTAAATTTAAGTTATAAAAAGATGTGGGCTTAGAGATCAGACAGTAGATTGGGGTGAGGTGATAAGAGAGGACTATTCTTCATCCTTTCACCCTTTTCTGAGGCATAGCAGTGGTTCCACCCTCCTCCCCTGCATCCTCATGCGGCCATTTTTTTTCCTCCCCACTGGTTACTTATTTCCCAACTGCACATGTTTAACCGCCAGACGTCCCCATCCTCTGGAGGAGGATGGATGCCATTCTCTTGCCCCTCTATCTCAAGTTGATTCGGGCGCATTAAATGATCTCTTAAAGCTGAAATTTTCCCCTTAAAGAAACGAAATTGGTTCAGTTACATAATGACTGCCTTCTGAGCCTGAGGGCGAAACAGCAACACTCTAATGTCAGCAATTGATCGCATGCACAAGTCCAGTCCCCACTCCTCCCCCCCCCTCTCCACCTCCCCTCTTTCCCTGCACTGGTACTTAAGCAATAAGGCATTCGCGCCGTGCTCAGAGAAGCATAAACATTTTGCCTCACAAAATTTACATTTGAGTGAGAGAGAGAGAGAGAGGCCGAGGAGGATTCGTCTGTAAACAGGTTTTATTTCCCATCATATGATTGTGCAGCCGTAGCACCGCTTCCAAGTACTGGGGAGTGGAGGTGGGTGAGAGGCGGTGGAGGGGAGGTTAAGTGAACTGCTCAACAGTTCTTCATTTGTTTACGGATATAAGTGATATCAAGATTATGCCGACGGAGTCAATCTTTCTGCCTCCATCAGAGAGAGAGGGGGAGGAGGAAGAAGAAGAAGAAGAAGAAGAAGAAGAGGAAGCACCAGCATGGGAGCGATGGATCGCAGTCAGCGGCGGTGAGTCGCTCGCTTCCGACTATCCGCAAAAATTCCGTTTATTTTCCCTTTTGATGCAAGAGTTTGAGTGTCTTTCTCATCAATGCGTTTAAATAATTTGGTTATAAACAATTGTCTGACTAGTCAAGTCTTTCTCAGTAGGGCTTTGGTGCAGTCACAAGGTGGTTCGCCAGATCCTAAATGCGGCACCAACCATTAAGGCCGAAAAACTCTTTGTACCCTGAAAAGTGTCACAGCTGCAGACTAATTTTTCCTTGCCGGTGATTAAAATGATAAATCCAAATCTCGAGCCTTTCCTGTTCGGCCTTCTTTCACTCCACTTGTCTCCACTTGTAGAGGTGACAGCTCGCACTCAAGTCACGCGTCGCCTTCACCACTACCTCACCTCTCCTCTACTAAAATGTGTGATAGAAATTAATTATTTTGAGATTCGATCAACTTAAGTGGTTGGAGGACTATTTTTGATTTCTAGGTTACTCCAATCTGGGAGATATCTCAGGACCACTCCACATAAGGTAGTAAGATCTACCTATCTCACCCTATAATTACTCATGCCCTCGTGAGTTGATGCATTCCTCTGTTAAAATTGTTTATAAAGCTGATTCAAGAGGATCCCTGCCTTGTTGTCGTAAAGCGGGAAGACAGCCCGTTCTCTGTGCAGACAGTTTTCCCTGGTATAGGTGGATGGGAGAGCGTAACAGGCAATCGCATATGGCAAGACCGGCGCAAGTGGACCTTTTTTTGGATGATGAGAAAATCCTCCTCTCCACTACGAGGTACATGTTGTGCATAAATACAGAAAAATTATAGCGTGGCCTTCCTCCTGGACAAGTCGCGTTACCATGGCGAATTCTCTCGGTGGGGTTGGACACGATCGTCACGCCATCATTGGAGTTAAGAGAAAGAAGGATGAGTGCGAGCATCGAAAAATAGGTTGATTATCCATTCTAGCTCTTAGTGACAAACACTGTTGCTTAGCATTGCACAAAATGTCTATTTTATTACTACACAAACTGCATGCAAAGCAACAAAAGTCGCAAAAGCGAATACACACTCCCTTTTCACCCTCTCCCTTTATTTTAGTTAATCAGAGAGTCAAAATTTTTTATGGTGGTCTTTATTCCCTTTGCAATCCACTTTCAAGTAAGATAGATTTGCTATCAATGCTACTTATAAACTTTATAAGTAGCGAACCTCAATATTGCATAATCGAATTTTATTTTGCAGCCCTTTACTTCCCTTAAGCAGCTAACACTTTACTTCGCATTATTTTTACTGCTAAAGGCTCTTTTGGCGGGGTGAAAGGGGGAAATTTTGGCATTGGGAGGGCATTAGACCGGTGTGGCTGGGAGACAATGTGTTTCTGTA